TCCCAAGGGGTTTGGAAAGTAATCTGTCGCCTTATCTTAACAACCTATCATGGCACAGCCCTATAGTTGGGCAGCTTGAAAGGGCTGAAATCTTGATATTATTGAAGGTACACTGGATAAGGTGAGCATATGCAGTAGAAACATTCTAATTTTAATAGATTACATATGTTGATTATGAAGACTCTATGATAAATGATGCTGAATTTCTACCCAGAAGAAATACAAAGTTTCTGTTTTATGTAAATTTAAGTAAAAAGTCAATTTATAGAAAATACTGGGTAGAGCATAGTATAAGTGAGACAAGTGTGGCAAAGTCTTAAAGGCGATAAATCAAATTGCTGAGGTTTGGGATAGATTGCTGCACAGGAATGAGTTTTCAGGGTGAAATTTTAGTATTAAAATAGGCAAGGCTGAAAGAAACTGGGGATATGGAAGTTCTCTCTTGCAAATCATATCTGACAGGTAGCTATGCATTCTCTAACAGGTAAGGTAAGATAGGACTTGTTCTAAAGGTATGTCCTTTTTTTTTTTCAGTTTTTTTAATTTTAGAGATGGTGTCTCGTTGCCCAGGTTGGAGTACAGTGGCTGTTCACAGGCATGATCATGGCTCACTAAAACCTCAAACTCCTGGGCTCAAGCAATCCTCCCCACTCAGCTTCCTGAGTAGCTGGGACTACAGGTGTGCACCGCTGCCCCTGGCTAAAAGCCGTGTTCTATTCTGCACTACAACCACTGAGGATGCAAAAACATCGGAGAAACGTGAACAATCTGGACATGCTCACAAAAGAGTAAGAGGAATCAATAAATATCTGGAAAACACACCTGGATGAAAAATGAAATTTTTCCAATATAGGCATGAAAGTAGGAAATAAATTTAAACTAGGAAGATATAATTATTGTTGACGGTGCTGAGAATGTCCTCAGCAGGGGTCACTGGGACCTTTGGAGGTCGAGCCTCCTTAACACCTTAGTCAGGGGGAGTAAAAGAAAAACAATTGAACTAGAACTTGAGAGAGTGCCAGTCCCAGAGGCACAGCATGATTGACTGTTTCCAGTGAATGTTTGGGCCACTGGTCTCCCAGCCTCAGTCTCCCCAGCTAATAAATGGGGATAACAATTCCTTCCCTACTTCCATCTACTTGGATTTGCTAGAGGGCCTCAAAGTATAAGATACATCATGTCTTTATATCCTGCAATTGTTAGTAACACATGATTTTTACTTTCACCCAAACACATATGAAGGGAAACACAGACATGATTGTGGAGTCCATTTTTTTTAGTACTGACAGAACAAGAGTTAAAGAATCAATGGAAAATCACAGAATAAAGGACAGTGGGACAAAAGCATGTCCTCAAATGATGACACAGTCAGCACCCCAGCTAGTTTTTAAATACTAAGGATGTGAGATAAGGACACTCAAGGGTTGAAATCCCAAAAGTCATTAAGTTTAATATGTTTACACAAGCAGAGGTGTTAGCAGTGGTATATAACCCAGGGTATAATTTCTTGAGATCACTAATCTAGAAGTAATGGCTTATAGTTTTCTGATACAAAATATGATTGAAGAAAGCATCAAAAGTTGTTTCAATACAAGTAGGCAAATGGTGGTAGATGAGTTTATCATTATTATTGCATACTTATGTTGCTTTTTACTTTATTGTACCATTTCATTTTCATGATAGCATGATAACATTGCCATCACAAGTAATCCATCTTATAGATGAGTAAGCTGAGATACAGAAGGATTAAATAACTTGTCCAAGCTAGTAAGTGTCACATATGGGATACAAACCCAGGCAGTGTGACTATCCTTCTAGATCAGCGGTCCCCAACCATTTTGGTATCAGGGACTGGTTTTGTGGAAGACAATTTTTCCATGGATGGGGCATAGGGGAGATGGTTTCGGGATGATTCAAGTGCATAACATTTATTGTGTACTTTATTTCTATTATTACATTGTAATATATAATGAAATAACTATAAAACTTACCATAAAAAAAAGAGGTGGGGATGGAAATGGTAAATAAAATAATGCACAGGCCACATACAGACTAAAATAAGTTTGAATTCTGACTTAAAGCCTGCTGCTGGATGCAGCTGTACAAGTGAAGTACATCAACTCACTTGCCACTCACTGATAGGATTTTGGGCTTTTTTTAATTTTTTTTTTTGTTTTGTTGTTTAGACTCACTCTGTCACCCAGACAGGAATGCAATGGCCGCTCCCGGCCACCTCAGCCTCGCCCTGCTGGGCTTCCAGCCACCGCAGCCTCGCCCTGCTGGGTTTTGATATGAGTCTACAAACAATTGGTTTATCATGGTCTCTGTACAGTCAACCTCGCTGCTAATGTTAATCTGTATTTGCAGCCGCTCCCCAGCACTAGCATCACTGCCTCAGCTCCACCTCAGATCATCAGGCACTAGATTCTCATATGGAGCATGTAACCTAGATCCCTCACATGCACAGTTCATGACTTCTATGAGAATCTAAGGCCGTCATTGATCTGACAGAAGGCAGAGTTCAGGTGGTAATGCCAGTGATGGCGAGTGGCTGCAAATACAGATGAAGCTTTGCTTGGCTGCCACTCACCTCCTGTGGTGTGGCCTGGTTCCTAACTGACCACGGACTGGTACCAGTTGGGGACCCCTACTCTAGACCCTAACCCACACCCTAGCCTGTCAACTGGTAGAATCCAGTAACACTTTAGTAAAAGCTGGTAACATCTGAGGGTTTACTAAATGCCAAGCACTACTAAGAACCATAGAACATCTCATGTAACCCTCATTCAAACTCAGGGAGTAGGTGCTATTATTATTACAGTTTTACACATGAGGAAACTGAGGGGAACAGAGACATTAGAGACAGAAAGGAACTTCCCGACCACTTAAAGCAGTGTTTATCAACTTTTTAAAAAATTGTCCCACAACCCTGAAGGAGCCCTTTTTCTTAATCACCCATGATGGAATTTTAATACCATGGAAAGACTATATTTGTTGATGGACTACATATATGTCTATGCTTTGTAGATAAAGTGAGTCAGAGTTATTCACTGATGTCTCACACCTAAGAATAAATGTTTTCCCTCATTGAGAAGTTGTGGCCTACAGTATAATGAATTTTTATGTGAGCAGTCTGTTGTGGCCCAGGAAAGTGGTTATTTTATCAATTTCTCATTCATTAATTCATCCTCCCATATTTATTGAGTGAAAGGAATCAGACACAAGAATATAGTACTATGTGGTTCTATAAGTATAACGTTCAATAACAGACAAAATTAATGTGTGGTGATAGAAATCAGAACTGTGGCTGCTTCTGGCTTGGGGGCTGACTGGAGTGGGCGTGAGGAGACTTTCTGGTGTGAGGGAAAGTTTTTCATCTTGATCTGGGTGATGGTTACATGTGGGTCTACCTCTGTCAAAATCTATACTTAAGAAATCTGCACTTACTATATACAAATGATATCCCAATAAAGTACAGTTTTAAAGAAAGTATTTCCTAGCATGCGCCTGCCTGGATGCTCTAAATTGGTCCCTGAAGACCCCAGCATGCTGCTGAACCCAAAGGCTCAACCAAATGCCCTGGGTTATCATTAGGGTTAGGAAACCCAATCCCCTCATCTGACTTTGCCAATGTCAGCCCTGGAGCCCCATGCACAACTCTGATGCTTCAATGTCACCACACAGTAGAAAAAGTCTAGTGAGGATCTAAGAGCTTCCACTGAGGACAGGCCTTAAAACTGAGTGCTCTGAGGATTATCAAATGGCTGCTGGGAGGAGGTAACAGAAGTCTAAGATTTCACAAAGGGGAGAAGTGAGGGGAAGCTGCCCGGACTCTGAGGACACTGACGTCTATGGACAGTGGCCCATGTGCTGCACTTGGCACTGGATGATTATTTACAGCACCACTGTTGCTTTGCTTCCCATATGTATAGTCATTTTTCAACCAGATCAGAGTGACCTATGGCTGGGGCTGTCTTACACCTGGCATATGCCCTCACTGGCTGCATGCAGCACTTTGCAATCAGATTCCTGGGACTCTGTAACTGTGAATGCCAACTATTTTGAACCAGATATTGGGACCACAGTTTGGAAACATGGATCTTTTGCTACTTCTGCATGTGTGAGGATGCCTGAGAGACAAAATCTAGCTGCCAATCTATTGAAATTTCTAAGGCGTTAAAAGATTTAGGAACACAACAGGAAAACTTCAATTTAAAAATTTAAAATCTGTTCCTTCTAGAAAATTCATGGCCAGGATTGCTCTGATGCAGCCTCAATCATCTTATTCTACCTATAACAGCATATTAAACTAGAAGAGTGGGGAAACCAGATAGATTTTGCTTTGGAAGAAAATAGAAATGTGTGTGTGTGTGTTCAACTTCAGAGCTGGCTGGAGAAAGAACTAACAGAACTAAGAGCTCATGTGTGTTAAGAACCTGTTATGTAGTAAGTATTCTATGAAGCATGGCATGAACATTACTTATCCTAGCCTCACAGTAGCCCATGGAGGTCAGTACTATCATTATACCAATTTTACAGAAATGAAAGGGGCTGGTAAGTGCCTAATTTAGGATAATGAAATTGGTGGGTGAAGCAGGAAGCCAGGACAAGACCTCTCAACCCTCAGTAACCCTGTGGGGTAGGTGCCACTGCCTCTCCCAGATGTGGGGGCAGGGGTGGGACAGGGGGTAGAGCTGGTGTTTGAACAGGAACACAGGTAAGTGTCTGAGAAAACTTCGTTGGCAGAAGTCTGCTTCCTGTGTGGGTGAACGAAAGGTGGAGGTAGATTAGGTTTCTGCAGGTTGCCAAGAGGAGAGCAGGCCACCTGAGTGTGGCTCAGCTGGGACTTGGTCAAGGGCAGTTGTACCAAAATGGAACTGAGAGCCAGTCCCAGAGCAGGACCCTGGCAGGGCTGCCAGCACAGCTGCAGTATTTGAGTTAGGTGATTAAGTGACCAACACGCACCATGTTAATCCAGCGCATTGGTTTCTTGATCTTACCTGTACTGTTTGTACTGTGTAGATTTTCTTTAGATTTGACGCACACTCGGCTGCCGTGGCACCAGGGAGGGATCTAGGCAAGCATGTACAAAAGAACAAAGACAGACAGGACAAGCAGTCAGTGTTTGTGAAATATTCCACAGCGTAATTCTGCAGGTCTTTATAAAAATCAGGTCTCCAATCTAGGTAACACAGTAAGACCTTGTCTCTATGAAAAATTTAAAAAATTAGCTGGATGTGGTAGTGTGTGCCATAGTCCCAGCTATTCGGAGGCTGAGGCAGACAGATCGCCTGAGATAGGAGGGGGAGACTGTGGTGAGCCGTGATTGTGCCACTGTACTCCAGCCTGGGTAACAAAATTAGACCTCGACTCAAACAACAACAAAACAAAGCAAATCCAGTCTCAAACCGCAGACTGGACATTTCTGGGATGCTGGTTAAAACTTCAGATGTGAAATTCCAGCCGGGTTCGGTGGCTCAGCCTGTAATCCCATGCCTTTGGGAGGCTGAGGTGAGTGGATTGCCTGAGCCTGAGGGCTTGAGACCCGGCTGGGCAACTTGGCGAGACCTCACCTCTACAATAAATAAAAAATCAGCCGGCTATGGTAGCGCATGCCTGTTCCGGCTACTCGGAAGGCTGAGGCGGAAGGATCGCTGGAGCCCGGTAGGTCGAGGCTGCGGTGGCTGGGAGCGGCCACTGCACTCCAGTCTGGGCGAAAGAGTGAGACTCCAACTCAAAAAAAAAAAAAAAAAAAAGTGAAATTCCTACTTTGTGAAGTCATGTATTTGCTTCTCCTAAAAGCATATTTATTCTGTGAAAATTTAGTAGAAAAAGGAAAAGCATGTAAGAAAGGTATTAGAAGTCTTAAAATCACATTTAAAAAAAACTAAGTGGCCTAGTGAAAAACCACATGTTTTGCTTAGAACTTTAGATAAGAAATTGCCTGTTGCACAGGTGACAATGAAAACACAGCAACGTGACCCGGTGATACGTTTGAAAACTTGTTAGTACCAAATATCCACGCACTCTTGAGCAACAGAGTAACCGTTTGCCTATTTTAAGGGACCATTATTGCTAAAAGTCCACTCTAGTTTCATCTGAGTTTGCATGTGTTTCCAAAACCCTTGCCTTTAGAAAACACATCAGCTCTTTCCTCCCTCTGATGTAATTCGCTCTGCTGAATGGATGACCAGAATGCACTCATCTTTATTGTGCTATACGTTCCACTAGATGGCAACATACTACAGGTTTAGTCATCAGTAACACAGCAATTTAACTGGCTTCACCAAGTGCCATTTCCTGGGATCCAACCTTAGGAGTTAAGCCTCAATTCCTGCCCTTTTCTTTCTCCCAATACTGAATTAGCAGTTCATGCTCATGAATATTGGGGTCCAGTTATATCAGACCCAAGATGATATTTCACTATTCAATTTGTGCTCAAAAGCCCCACATCTGGTTGTGGATGATTTAAAAAAAAAAAAAAAAAGGCTTGCTAAGAGAAGGACCCCACTCCTAGCTGAGCCATGGGAATCTGGGATTTATATAACAACTCTACCAGCCACTGGCTGCAGAGACAGAGTCCCCAGGAACACTCAACGTGTTGCACTTTCTGGACAGTTGCTAAACCGCTGCTCACTAGAGATGCACACAAAATCCACAGGAGTTCAGAGGTGGGGGAGATGGCGGAGGCCCATGCCGGGTGGGGGTAAGCACAGCAGGCTTGGCAGACTACAGTCCTCGAACTGTGACCCACTGAATGCTCCTGGGTGTGGACCCCGAACATAAAAAATGCATTTCTGAATATAGTTCTCTCATCAGAAGGTCACTAAAGAAGCACAATTATGGACTAGTTTGAGAGCAAACAAGGGACTCCCACTGGCCAGTGAAGTCTGATAAAGAAATCTACCCTACATCACTGAGTTTTACAGCTCAATTTTAATCCAGCAAAATGAATTTGCTGGACATTGTTTTTAAAAAGCAAATGGACAATAACCACCATGATTGCATTTTGTTGCCAGACTTGAAGCCTAAAAGAACTATGTCAAGCAGGGTGGTGAGGAAGGAAGTGAGGTGCTAATCAATACCTTGCTAATGACAGTGTGTGCCTAAATCCCTGATGAAATACATCAGTCTGTATGGAGCGACTAGACCGTGGTCACTAAAGGATCAGCTTGGAATAAATGTTAATTTGCTATTTAATACAGATTTTTATGCCTTTTTTGGTTTACATTATAAAAAGATTAGGGAAAAGAACTTCAAAAACCTCAATGTTTTCTGAATAGATTGCTAACATGAAAAGTCTATTGCTTTTATGTTAAAATCTACTGGCATTTTTTCCAATACTGATTTTTCTTCCTTTGAAAAGTTTAGATGAATATGCCCAGCAAATATGTTCCTGGATCCCCCAAAGCAGATAGAAGTGTAGATGCAAGGCTTCTTCTCTAATTGGGGGCTGGTAGTGGTAGAGGTTTACAGTAGGGACCAAAGGGAGGAAACATACTTTGCTTTTTTTTTTTTTTGAGTTGGAGTCCCACTCTGTCACCCAGGCTGGAGTGCTGTGGTCTGCTCATGGCCACCGTAGCCTTGACCGGCTGGGCTCCGGCAATTCTTCCACCTCAGTCTTCCGAGTAGCCAGAACTACAGGCATACGCTACCATCCCTGGCTAATTTTTTATTTTTTATTGTAGAGACGAGGTTTTGCCAAGTTGCCTAGGTAGGTCTTGAACCCGCGGGCTCAGGCAATCCACTCGCCTTGGCCTTCCAAAGTGCTGGGATTACAGATTGAGCCACTGAGCCCAGCCTGCTT